CTAAACAAAAACATTAACTTCATGTGCAAATAATTTTCAGAGTTTTATCTTTAATATAAAAACTATAAATATATTGTAACTCTTCCTGATACAGGAAGAAACAGCATACTTTATTTACATTTTATGTCTTATTAGTATGCAGTTTGTGTTCTGATTTTAATTGAACAATACAATTTTTATTTCTTTAAATCATTTTGCATTTTTTTTATTGTCATTATGCTATTTTGTGAGTTTTAATAATAATATTAAATTCTCCTTAAAAAAAAGATTTATTTGTTTGTTTACTTTAGGTGTGTTTATGTTATGGCTCCTGAAAATGAATATACTACAGTGATCACATTAAACAAGGTTGGAATGAAGAGAACCAACATTCCGTGTTCTAACAACCAAATTTAAACTGATAAAAGCCTACAGAGCTGTAAAACATTTCATGGGATCATGGATGTAGTTGTCCAACAACCACCACAACTCTTAAATATTAAGAAGGCCTGCTGTCAAGATCTGGAAATTCAATACACTAAAAGGAAAAAACGCTATAGTGGAGATGTTCAAAATGTTTTTGAAAACAAAGACATTTTGAACATCTCCACGATATCTCCTCCATATATATATATATATATATATATATATATATATATATATATATATATATATATATATATATATATATATATATATATATATATATATATATATATATATATATATATATATATATATATATATATATATATATATATATATATATATATATATATATATATATATATATATATATATATATATATATATATATATATATATATATATATATATATATATATATATATATATATATATATATATATATATATATATATATATATATATATATATATATATACAGGGGCAGATCTAGGGTACGTCTAGTACGTCTGTAGACATACCCAAAAATAAAACTAAATAAAAAAAAAAGTTAATATGTTATTTCAATATTGCGTATAAAAATAATTTATTTAGTTTAACTGTAAAGTGAATTAAATTTAAGTTTTATTACCTTTATACAAACAGTTATAAGTTTATACTAACAGTTTATATTAACAGTTATAAGTTTTAGTTATAGTTGAAAAAAAATTTCGCTTCTTGTTTAGAGTAATTAAAGTTGCTTTTTGTTTAGAGCGGTAAATAAAAAAACCTTTTTTAACTGGAGGTTAAAGTAATAATAAATAAATAATATTTAATTAGAAGAGTTAATAGACGTACCCAATATTATTTTGTTAAACAATGAAAAACGTTATTTAATTTTTGTTTTTTTTGTTATAAAAGCAAAATATTAATTTCTTTACTTATTACAAATTTTAGACGTACCCAAAGTAGCACACCCTAAGTAAATTCTTATTCAAAATCCATCGTTTAGCGATAATCAGGAGGTGAAATATATTTTAATAGTTATTACAAACCAAAATAAAACAATGGACGTACCTAACATTATTTTTTTCTGTGATTGAGTTTTTTTTATTTAGTTTAGTTTTCAATATTCAAATTTTAAGTAATCGATTTTATTTATAAAAAAACTGTCAGACGTACCTTCAAACTTTCACCCTGAAATATTTAAAGTTTATTGCGATATTTAAAATCTCTCGAATCTTGTAAATATACGTAGTTTTCTTAATAAATCAAGTGTTTGTAACATTTTCGTGTTTATGCTCGTGTTAAAATTCTTCAAGATCAGCTTAGATATTATCAACAAAAAACGCTTCTTACATATCTAAGACACCATAATATCTGGTAACAAAGTGTTTCAGAGAAGTTAATAACAAAATAGTTTGAAAATTTTAAATATTTCTCTGATGAAGCTTCTGACAATTAATTAATTCAATAAGAGACATTATCAGTTTCTTAGATTAACACAAATGGTGTTACTAGTGTGGATTATTTTATTTTTTGGTAAAAAATATTTCGGATTCCTTTTTATATTATCATGAATTGTGATATGGTGGTGCTAGAGCGATTGATGGTCACACTATAGATTTGTCCTCTTGTATTTTAAATCTAAATGAAAAAGCTGCATGCTTATTGCAACAGTCATAGACTTAATTTAGTTTTTTGTACCTCATACAAAGTGCAATATGTCAAGTATCTTTTTACCACTATGTCATGTTTTGCAATATGATAAGTATCTTTTTTGGCACACTTTAATGTGGTATCATACTTTGGCACTGAAATATATATGTTAAGCACCCTGGTATAGTGCCAAACAGTAATAACACCCAGTCGTATTAGTTATATTGGCAAATGCTTTTGCTTTTTATATTGGCAAATGCTTTTGTTTTTTAATTGATTTTTTTCAGTTTTTATGTATTTATCAGCAAGATTTATTAAAATGAATGCTTAATTTTTTTTTTTTAACAAAATGTGGCATTAAGAATGCATCTCTAAATACCTCTTTATATAATTTAAAATTGCATATAGATTGCATTATACATAAAATTGCATAGACAAATATTTTATTATAATTTGTGTTATTTTATAATATATTTGTTAAAATATAAATATAAAATTTTGCATTGCGCAATTTATTTTATTAATGATAATGTGAAAATATAGTTTTTAATAATAGATCTGTAAATAATGTGTAAATATATAATTTTATAATCTAAAAGTAAAATGCCCCAGTGATAACCTTGCATATTTTTGATTGAAAAAAGGCTCTTATTAGATTAACTTAATAGACCTCTTTTAATAATAGACCTCAGTTAATCTTGATAGATTAACCGATGAGGTCTTCCATGGTGGGGTGTATTGCTTTTCAACGACTAGAGACACCAAAAAAAAAAAAGGTCCTCAATATTTCCAATATGCCAACTACAGTTCAAAACTTGCTCAATGAGCTAACTCAAATGCTTGTAAGAAATCTTTAAGGGGAGGGGGTGATTGACACCCAGACACCCCCCTATCCTTCGGGATAGCCCTGGGGAGGGGGTTCAAAATTTTTCCAAAAAATCAGATGTACCCAAATAATTTCCTGGGTCTGCCCCTGATATATATATATATATATATATATACATGTATTCAACAAAATAGAATGCCTAATGTTCTTAAAAGAACAGAGAAATAATAAGTTAGTAAAAATTCACTTAACAATTTTTTTTTTATTTATAAACTCATCAGAAATGCTAATCAATCATCAAAAATTTCTGATAAGGATATATCTATGAAATACAGTTTCAAATGAAAAAATTTGATGTAAATTTTTAATAACTTATTATTGCTCTGTTTTTTTTTAAAACATTCCCAGCTAACTCAAAACATTCAAGCACATTCGAAGAACATTGAGAATGTTTGAGCACATTCTGTGAACAATGTGTGTAAAATAAATGCAAGGAATAAAATCTTCATAGATCAAAATATATATTTTTTAATAAACACACTTTTGTAAGTAACAAATTGTCTGGTTGTCTTGCCAGGCTACTAACAGACTTTTTTTTTTTAGTTACAGTCGCCTTTGAAGGAAATGACTCATCCCCTGCCACTGGATGACCATGAGAGTACACCCCTGAATATATGTTGAGCAATGGCTGTTTTCAAGTTAGTACAACTCAGAAAAAGAGTTTTATGTTCAATCTGATTTAGATTATAATGCCTCTGATGGAAACAGTTTATCATTACAGAGAATTTATTTGACTGGGAAATTGCTCTGAATAAAAATGGGCTATTTTTTTAGTGGAAATAGTTTCCTGTTTCAACTATGTAAAGTGATGTTTTATGAATCATACAAGAGCATTAATTATTAGTAGCTTGTGGTGTCTATTTTAGTAATTCATCTATAAAACTGTTTTTATATAGAATTGACGGTTTATTTTTAGTTTAAGAGTATTTTATAAATGATACACTTAAGTCATTCATAAATAAAACTAGCTTTTTTATCAAAACCACAAAGGGCTTTTGCTTTTTAGTTTAAAAAATTTAAATAACATTTGAAAATACTTCATCAAAAATAAAAGTTTAAAGAGTTTTTATTTTTTGAAGAAGTATTGTAAATTGTGCTATTTTAAAAAACACATGTGTATATTTTTTATGTTTTTAGCGGTACTTTTTCAATCAAACAACACATATTTTATATGATGTTGATGTTGTTTTGTAAACAGATTTAAATTAAATTGGTGTAAACTGTTGTTATTGCCCTTTAAAGCACTAACTAGTAATAATAAATAAACTTTTTCAATGCAAGAAGTATTAGCATGAATTTTTGTTAATTGTTATCAGCTCAGCTAATTGTGTGCCTTATGGTTAAAATGTAATAATGAAACTATGGACTCTCAAATAAACTTGGTATGGTGTAATTCAGTTGTAAAACATTGAATTTGTACTTGAGTATAAATAAGTTTTTACTTTAGTATTTATTCAATAATTGTTTAATAAATAAAGGGTTATGTAAGTTCAAAAAAGAATTAGATTACATAAAAACTAGCAAATGTAAGTTTAAACAGAAAGTCCATCTAATCCTATATATTTATATGTTTAATTAAAAAATTTAAAAAAAAGAAAAACGTTTAGTAAACTTCCGTGTTCATTATTGCATGTTTGAGGTAAATGTTTAAGAAATATCAAAATAATGTTTGCAGTAAATGTTAAATAAACATTCGCTGTTTGTTATTTGAATGTTTGTATTGAATGCTCAAGAACTGTAAATAGAGTTCACAAAAGTTGGTTTATGTAATGCTTGCAGCGAACATTACGCAAACCTAAAAGAACATTGTGGTAACTTTTTTTTAATGTTATTTGGTAGCTGGATTAAGCACTCACGAGTACAAGAACCGAGATATACTTTTGAAAGAAAAAATTATACTTTTGTGAGAGCCATAAATTGCTCCCGTAAATCATTTTAGGGGAGTGTGAGCGAGTACATTTCAGGGGAGTTAGTGAGAGCTAAAGCTCTTGCTTCCCGGAGAGCCCTGTGTATATATATATACAACTATAATTTGTATTTATACAAACAAAATACAATGTATATATGTGTA